CTGCTCACCAAAAATGCGGCCAAAAGTCATCGAGTGAAGAGCAGGAAGAGTCCAGCCTCCGCCCAGAAGGAAGAGATAAAGCAAAAAAGGCACGACTACAACACACAGCACCAGTCTCAACTTCAACGCTGCTCCAACAACTACTCGATCACAACAGGGAGAAAAACGAGAAGATACTGGAAGAAATAAAACGCAAAAACGATTTGCGTGATGAAGAACTTGATTCTTCTTTTGTTTGAGCCTTGACGAAGTGAAGGAGCCGTCGCTTGTTCTGTTGGCTCCGCGCAGACCACAGCGAAAACAGCAGCTAAAAGATCATCGTCATCAGCGAGGAGAAACTCTTCGTCACTGCCCTCCATTGCCGATAGAATAGCCTCCAGACGACTGGAGTTGGTGAAAAATCCTTATTTCTATGATCGCAGCGAATAGCAACAGCCAATCAGATTCGACAGATTGCAATACGGATAGCAACTACGAGTGGAGATAGCCTAACACTACAAAAATAAAGAAGGTCCACATTAATTTTGTTTTGGTACTGGGACTGGTTTTGGGAAAGGTACTGATTCCGGGATTTGAGCTCACATATGGTACTGGTTTTGGGAAAAGCTCGAGACATAAAATCATGTCGGCAGTTGGCAATTTGCGTTTGCCCATCATGTTGAAATGAAGATGCATTTACGTCACACCCCGGAGTTTAAGGTGTCTGTTGCAGGACTTCCCCTGCCTGTGGGCGTGGCAGAGCTGCTACAGCGACGAACCATATCCAAACTAAGGTCAGCCGCTGCAAGACAACTCTTTTTAAAAGAGCGCTTATTAATACATGTATCATTCATTGAATAAATGAAATTCACGTTAAATTTCAACGATGGTTGTCGCTGGTAAACATTTGCCAGCTGCGAATCGTCTCCTCCTCCAGAATGCCCAGCTGAGCTGAGATGGTTTACAGGCTGGAATCCAGCCGCGGAAAGCAGATCGACTGTAGATCAAGCAAGATGTAGACCCACGATTTCGCCGTCGTGAACTCGAGCGCATGCAATGACGAGCTCTCGGTGTTGTACCGCCTAAAAGCTCATGTGGTGCGTCACTATTGGCTGAAAAAAGAACCTGTTTTAATCTAATATATTTTCCGCACAGGTCTATCTATAGCTGTGATCGCTACGCCGAGATGAACGGGAGCACCGAGCCCGCAGCCTACTTTCGTTGCCGTTACCGGTGTATTCTTGTTCTCTGCTCGCTGGGGACGGTCCAAGTGCTGCCTGTTGTTGCGTGCTTGGTGTCGCGCGACGCGCTGTGGGGTTGCAGAGCGCAACCCCACGACGTGCTGCCATTGGCCGAAACTCACGCATCTTTTTCTAAGTACGATAATCTTTGCAGCTGCGGGTGATTTCTGCCAAATTTCGCGTACGAAGTCGAGCTGACCCTCACTCTGCGCAGGACTAGATTTGACTATTCTTCGTTATCGATTCACCCCCTCGATTCCTCCTTTCACGCCGACCCGCACTCCCTTTAGCTACGCCAGAATCCGATTTCCAAGCTCAAGCTCAAGCGTCAGCTCTCTTCTTCTCTTCATTCCAACCATGGACCGTGACTCCCTAGTGTTCCTCGCCAAGCTGGCCGAGCAGGCCGAGCGATACGATGAGATGGTCGACCACATGAAGGCCGTCGCCAACAACCACAACGTGGAGCTCACGGTGGAGGAGCGCAACCTTCTTTCGGTCGCCTACAAGAACGTGATTGGCTCGCGTCGCGCCTCGTGGCGTGTGATCTCGTCCATCGAGAACAAGGGCGACTCGGAGCGCAGCGAGCACATCAAGGCCTACCGTCAGAAGATCGAGGGCGAACTCGTGGACATTTGTAACGACATCCTGACGATCATCGAGAACAACTTGATCCCCAACTCGTCCAGCGAGGAGGGCAAAGTGTTCTACTACAAGATGAAGGGCGACTACCACCGCTACCTGGCCGAGTTCCAGGTGGACGATGAGCGCAAGGAGTCGTCGGACAAGGCTCTGGAGAGCTACAAGCAGGCCTCGACCATCGCCATGGCGGAGCTGCCACCCACACACCCCATTCGTCTGGGTCTGGCCCTCAACTTCTCTGTCTTCTACTACGAGATCCTGAACTCGCCTGACCGCGCCTGCAACCTGGCCAAGCAGGCCTTTGACGACGCTATCGCGGAGCTGGACACCCTTTCGGAGGAGAGCTACAAGGACAGCACGCTGATCATGCAGCTGCTGCGTGACAACCTGACCCTCTGGACGTCTGACCAGGAGCCTGACAATGCTGACGCCAACCAGGGCGACATGAACGTCCAGGACGTGGAGTAAGTTCTCCCGTCTTAGGCGAGCTAGCAAAGCTGGTGTCTGTGTGGTGAAGGGGAAGGTCGAAGGAGATGCAGACGTGGCGGAGGATGCAGGGGAATGAGAGGCCGCAGCTCTTATGTTGGCCTCCTCCTCTCGCGCCTCGACCAACGCCACGCATGCCAGCCGTTCCACCTTGCCGCGGACTCAGCCGTCCAGTACTTAATATTGGTAGATAGAACTCACGAAAAATCGCATCGAACTGTCTTCCCTGTTCCTTAAGTTAGTTTGATTTGAGGCGAGCCGCGCGAGTTTTGGGCCGTGCATAGAAAACTGAAGATGTTTTGAATCGTCAAGGGAAAACCAACGTAAGATCTCGATCCTTTTTGCGTGTCTCAAAGTGTAGGTTTGTGGACCACGTAGATTATTTTATAGCTACTACGCTGTTGATTTACGGATTTAGAAGAGTATTACTAGTAGTATTATTTATACATGTAAGAGTACTACGTTTACAACGTTGATTGTTTAAAACACACCTCGTGAGGTACGAATAGTCTTCACTAACGGAAATGGTCAATTAACCCCTTAGTTCCCGGCCTCAAATATGAGGGTATATTTTGACCTCGTCCCATATACAGATATATAGGAATTTGTATGGGTTTTCAATTAAGTCCGGATATCTTGGCGCGGGTTCGGGGTGGTAACAACGACATGCCAGTGTGTATAGTACGGATTCTCCAACATAAAGGAGGGTTTATGTAGTACATTGAGACGATCATATGCAACTATACTGTATAAATAAACATAAGATACGTACTGTTTATTGATTAGCCTATCTTTGTGTTGTTGCATACGTCCAGCAGCGGTGAGTTCATTTATTATAGCCAATAACAAGAAAGATCAAGTGCCGTATCAATTGATTGCTCCTTGCATAGACATGTACGACCTCACGTAGACGGCGCAACCACTACGCCTCCTCCTCCACCGCTTCATCATCTTCTTCGCTCGACTCCCCAGCACCAGCACCAGCACTTGCTCCGCTCTCGCCTACCTGCTGTCTGCGTCTCCGCTTCTTGCCTGGCCGCGACGCTGGCGGTCGTTCACGTGTCCTGTGCTCTTGCAGTAGGTCGCGCGGAATGTCGTTGCCGTTGTTCCAATCAGCATGCCAAATGCTGAAGCACGTACTGACCCTGCCTTCACGCGGAACGTTGCATAGGTATTTACCAAATCAAAACGAGTTAGCCAAAGATTACGGTAAGGGTACCAAGCGAGCTACGCACCGTTTGTTTCCGTTCGAGCACTCCGGGCAGAAGTATTTCGTAAGCTTGCGAGGCTTGACCTTGTAGATGGCACAGACTTTGCATGATCGGTGGCGTCGCTTCACACCCTGCTCGCAATCGACAGTATCTGGGTTTTTTTCTAAACAATGTCCGTCGATAGCTGACGATGCGCTTCCTTGTAGCTGTGTTGAATCTGCTCTTGCCGGCGAGAGGGCAGTTCTATCTTGCGCAGATGTCGCTTGCTGTTCCAACCCACCATAAATTAGTTGTAATGTTGGAAGACTGCTGAAGCATGAGGTTATGTCGACTGGTCAACATTTGACTTACGTCAATCTCGTCAAACGCTTCGATTGAATCTACTGCCAGTAGCAGCTCCATCAATTCCTCAAAAAACGAGAAGTGTTTTGGCGGGCGCCTGTTGTTTACCTTTCGATAGTGTCGATGAACGATAAACGCGTTCACGAGCGCCATATCCAGAAGCTTCTGAAACAGAGTCTTGTAGTACTTGCGTGTTTTGTAGCAAAGTTGCACGCTGTAACATTGCAACCGGAGTTGATCATGGACGTTGACTCCACTCATCCAGCGGTGGTAGTCGCGAACAAGCTCTGGAGCCGGCACCGGCGTCATTTCACCGTGGATGCGTCTCACTAGAATACAAATACAATTAGTGCTAACAACCAAATAGGAACCCAATGCATGTAGTACGTACTCACGGTGCCGGTTTGGCGGCTCTTCCCACTTGGGAGCAGGTGCACCGGGTTACGGTCCATCCACATGGCAGCAGTTAGTTGCGGAAACATCTTGTTTTGAGCCAGCCTGATGGTACCTTGCGGAGGCACCAGTACCTCGCGCCTGTTCACCTTTTTTTTTTCTTCGTAGTGATCACGCCAGCATCGTAACCTGATCTATCCGTCTGTATCGTCCCCGTTAGATACATCCGATAATGAAGCAGCTCCTTGACCGACGTGAAGCACCGGTCGGTGACGACTAACCTCCATGGAGACGTCGGTGACGGAGATAAGAGAGCTTTCATGTTTCGAAGTACAGCCGCTTCTCCAGAGTTGTTATCCTTTGGAACAGGAGTACGTAGATGTGGCTTCGCCCCGCAATAAATCTCAATTCTAGCAGGCAAACACATCAACAGAGACGAGTATGTTAATATCATGTTATATCAACAGATGGCGCAGAATTCTTATATTGGACAAGTCAACATAAGTACTTGGGCCAAAAAAAAGGCAAGCCGAAGCTTGCCTCACAGTTACCTCATGCAGCACGCGGTCTTGGCATACGCAGCAACAAACACCTTCGTCCCCCACTTGTGGGGCTTGTCCTTGTTGAAGATCCTCATGGGATTGTATCGCGAGCGCAAAGGCAGTGTTGCTTCATCGAAGCTGATGACTGGGGGAGCTCTGTATCCACGAGCGAATGTTCGCTGTAGCACGTTGAGCACCGGTCGAATCTTCCACGCTCGGTCCGTACGGGCTTGTGGCGACTTGTTGCTCGAAAAGTGTAGATATCCCACGATATGAAAAAAAAACGATTCTTTCCCATCACGAGACTGAAGCGGTTTGACGGCAGAACTCCAACTTTCCTCGTTGACCAATGCGCTGCAATGCCTTTCCGGATGGGGACCAACATACGTGCAATCAGCAACGCCATAACTTGAAGGACTTCGTAAGTTTGTATTTCATCAACTGCTGACAACCGCCGTTTGATCTCAGCAAGATCTTCTGCTTCGCCACCACTACGCTGTTGCTGTCTGCGAAAAGAAGAGCAATGCCAGCGGATCGTCCCCAACGCGTAGCACGCTGGCACTTGGTCCGTATGGCCCATCATACAACCCAGCATACGTTGGGTCAGGTCCGAATTTAGTCGCGTCTAGATACAACACATAAGGACAAAAACTATGTTAGCCTTTATGTTAGCTCAGAAACAAAATGAAAGGATTATGTTGGATTCGGTCAACATAACGTACCATACTCCCAGCCATCGGTACGCATTGCAGTGATCAGTGGTGCGTTCTTCGCTGCGGACAACCACGCCGTGTTTGGAAGCCCCTCGATGTCGTGGTCCGAATCTTCATCTGTCAGCTCTCCAATGTCCCAGTTACCGTCCCAACTATCGTCATCAGCATTCTCTTCGTCTTCAGGTTCCTCACGAAGCTCTGGGTCCTCATCGGAGTTGAGCCCGGTGCATTCGTCAGCTCCTTCGTCCATAAAGTTAGGGTCTGTGTCAATGACACACGCAGGTACTCTGTGCACAACGTCTGCTTCGTAAACACTATCGTCTTCGTCACCTTGCATTCTCTGTTCACCATAAATCACGTATGTTGGATATTATGTTAGACGTGTTGTCAGCCACAATCCTTCTAAGCTGGATAAACGAACAAAACGCACCGTGTCATCGTCGCCATCGCTGTCTTCTTGTAGGAGAGCGCGGCGATGCTCTCTTGTCGGCACTTGCGTACTACGCTTTCGTTTTTCAGCACTGGAATCAGTAGTAGATAACGTGATACCAGACTGTTGGGCAGGCAGCGCCGTCTCAACGCTCAAAACCATGATCGCGACGACTTCTGTCACCTCCGTCTCGTGGTCTGCCTCCACCTCCATCGCACCCGCTATCGCAGTTGTCTCTATCGTCTCCTTCGCTTCAGCAATCGTCTGGTTTCGCGAGCCCTCTTTTTCACCCGCCGTGTCTGCAACCTGAGCACTTGCTGAAGGAGTATACAGACCTTTATACGGCGCAACCTCCATATCTGCCGTTGTGCGCTTGGCAGCCTTCTTCTTTGTCGCCTTCTTTGCCTTCGTCTGCCCTGCTCCATCGCTGCCGCTCTTCTGCTCTGCCCGTCGAATGCGGCGCTCGTGACGCTCACTTAGCAGAGCCTCGCGACAGAGGCGCCTCTCTTGCTCGGTGAGGTGGTGACGCGGTGTCTTGGGTGTCGGCGCAACCATGTTGCTCTCGACCGTCGTTTTGAAGAGTGAGGAGGTTGGTGGCTGGTGGCCACTCGCTCGATAGTGGGTGTGTACCTCCCTTTTCTAACTCATTCAACCAAGCTAAACCTAAGCCTGTGCATGTGACCGTTTTACACTCATATCAATGACTTCATTTCACTATAGCGGGGAAAGGGGGATATGGACCGTTGCCCCATACAAAATTCAGGTATAAATTTTGCTTATGTTGGACCTCCAACATAAAATAAAAGGTGCAACAGAAGTGAATTAGGGTATACACCCCTTATGTTGGAAGATCCAACATAAAGGAACTAAGGGGTTAAGCGCCGTTTGCCAATTAAGTCCATTTTGGCCTGGCATGTATCGGTTTCGACTTTTACCTCTTCCTATTCGCTAATACGTCAGACCTGCATATTTTCATTCGAAAATTTGGCGGGAAAGCGCCAGTATTTTAGCGCCACAGCCATTCAATCCTCAGCTACCATGACGAAGCCCAAAGGACGTCGGAGCTATACGACGGAGCTAAAGAACGAAGTTGTTGCTCGAGTTCGAAGAGGCAAGATTGTTGCAGAAGTTTCTGCTTCTTCAGGCGCTCCTGAGAGAAGGATTCGCGAATGGAGCACGAAAGTCAAGCAAGGAAAGTCGCTTGAGTCGGCATGTCCAGGGAAAAAAACCTTCGCGTTTATATAACCGAACGCGATTCTTTTTTTTTCAGGAAATGGAGCATGATAATGAAAATATGCGGCAAACCGCCGGCACGGCCATTTTCATGGGTACGTTACTCGCAAAGCCATGTAGATCCGCTTCGTAGCTGACTGGATCAACTTTACTAGCACCAGAGATGCTGACAGGCGATAGTTTTCAAGGAAAACCTGTAGATATCTGTGCTTGCGGGGTCACATTGTAAGCGGAGCAGCATATATATGATTGGGTGGTTGGGTGACAGCTCGTGGGGTATCCTGTCGACCGGGCTGGAATTTTGAGGAAGGCAAAGGCGATTTCGCTACTCGTGTGTGGCAAGAGCGTTAGGGATGGATGGTACCGTCGTTTC